TCATCTTATATATTGTTAAGAAAATGACAATTTTTTCTGAAGAGAAAAGGAAAGAGGGATTCCTTCTTTCTCATTTTCTTGCGTTCGCCACTGCCAGTACCTCGATACTTTTTCTATAGTTTATACTTTGTTTCATGAAAATTTCAAAAAGCTTTAATTGCTTTACCTTTAACATTTTGATATTTGGTTTCAAGTAGTACTCGATGCCCATCTCCGATCCTGGCAATGTTATACCTCGTATGAATAGTACACCCAATACAACGTATGGGAATAATGCTGTGAACCAGACTACCTGAGATCAATAATCATAGATCTCTGCTGTCAACCTATCTGCGAAAGCTTTAAAGAATAAAATGAAGTTATTTTATTGTTATTTGAAAATTGAGGAAAAAAAGTAGCTTCAAAATTTCCGCTCACTTTTCCACTCATTCCAATTCCTTTCCAAAGTGAGAAGTAACAGATCAGGTACACGAGAGCCAAGCAAATCTAAAAGGATTTAAATGCATCTATGACACTGCCACACATTTATGGAATATGCAAGCTAGTCAAGATAATGAGAAACGCCATAAGCCGGAAATTTCCTTCGAAAGGGAAGTAAAACAATAGGTTTTGGCTCACTAAACAAGTAAAAATCTTACACTTTTCTAATTTGAGAGTATTTAATCAATCAATTTATGTTAAAGATCATATAACTTACTACAATATGCCAATTCATGCTTCCCAAATTATCAAGTCCTCGAGCCACATGTGATGTTGTGTCGTTCGGAGCATGTAAACCCAGAAAGCCCTTGCTGAAAAAATAGAAGAATTCGAGGTTTTGAAATTTACCCTAAAAAAGGAGGTTCCATTGATTGGCTTACTAAAAATACTCCTCAGCAGCAGAGATTTTTGACGACTCATCCATAGACGGTGGTCGACATTCTGACGATCCGTCGCTCCAACTGCAAAATATTCAGTTTAGAAAATAAGAATCAAAGGAAAACTGCATATGTAAGCAACTAAATGCCCTACCTTGGCTCGTAGCATGCAGGGCTGTTGTATGAATTATTGCAGCTGGCCCATGGTAAAT